CCACCCACCTGGCTGTGGTTCATTCTTCATTCTCCCATTGGTTACCTTGTTCTCACCCAATCCTGCACAGTACAACATCCCGGAAGACATCTTCACACTTGTTGCCATGAGAAACTGAAATCTTGTCGTTGGATGCAATGTTTTACCTCACGAGTCATATTGCATGGGGTTAAAGGGTTAAATAAATATATAATTAGAATTGATTTCCTATGTACAAACCTCATTTGAGCATTGGTGTGTTGATAAACACTCTTGGTATGTGTTGGTAGATCTATGATTTAATTTGAGGCAGTGTATCTCAACTGCATTTCTCATGGTTATTTTAGTTTCTGCTTGCATTTTATCTTTTTAGAAAGGGCTGCAGCGTGGATATTTGTCATTATTTATTCCAGATCAAACTGTGCTTAAGGTATATATTTAATGAAAATGAAACAGTGCACATTTACATTATTTATTGGTAACAATCAGGAGGCCGCATATTTCAGTCAGTCATTTCCGGGCTCTGTTTATACAAAGGCTATTTAAGAACTTACTTATGAAGGTGTACTACACTCCTGTTTACTACTTTAATGTAGATGTCCCAAGGAATAAGGAATAAAGGACAAACCCTTTTGCCTAAGCAGTTCAGGCTTTTGCGCTTTTGATATGATGTTTGTTTTCCCAATGGAAGAAATCAGGTCTTGGTATTTGGAACCAGTGGTGCACCTTGGCTTTCACCTCATATCATCATGTTTTGCTTTTACCAAGAGGATGTGGTTGATTGTTATCCTCTGATTCAGCTACAGTTTTGCGGTATGGAAGTGGTCCTTCCGATTTCCTGGCCGAAACATTAATTGTTGACAGTCCGCTGTTTTTGTATAATACACAATTTTTTTACGTTCTTTATTGTTGCTACAAAAGTCTCATAAAAGTGGGCACCCTTACATTATCTGTAATAGTTCAGTTGTTAATATGTTTGGCTATGGTACAGCTAACCTGGGTTTGATTTCCAGTTGGCTTTTCTTTTTGTCACTTTGTCTATGATAGTTTTGGGAAATGAAAAATTTAATTTATTTTGTAATTATTTGCATTCATTTATTTTCTTTCTTCCTTTATTCCCATTTTAGATCAAGAGGAGTGCATTTGGTTTCTCAGTGTGATGGATTGAAAATACACCAATATTTTAAAACTGAAGCATTATACACTGTCAAAATAGTTTTAAATCCATAAGACTAAGGGACAGGCTTGAAGGATTCTGGAATGTGCTTGTTGTGAATGCAAAGAAATGGCGAACATTTTTGACACCGTGAATATCAACCAGTGCTTGCTTACTTGCTTCATGCACTTTCATTTTGCAGTTTTTTTTTCTTCAGCTGGGAATGTAACTTACTTTGCACTGCAGGAAAGTTCATATGATGTTACTAGTTTGGCATTGTATCATGCATAATTTATAAAATTTTGACAATGCTTAAAACTTCACTGTTGGTGTATTTTCAGCTTTTCACATTGAGAAGCCAACTGTACTCCTCCTATTTCTTGAATGTGAATGAAAGGAGGAAGAAAGTAAATAAATTCAATGACTTAAAAGATAAATGAAATCTGATGGTCTTGAAAGACATAATAGACATGGTGATTACAAAGCTAACTGGGAATCAAACCCAAGTCATTTTGTTTAAAATGCTACTAACTTACAGGATCGCATATTGCTCAATAATTCTGTTTAACCAGATCTGTTGCTAGTGAGATATTTGACATTCCTTTTGCTTGCCTAATCCATCAGTATGAGGTTCAGTTTTTGTTGCAATTCA